AATGCCACGAGTGATCATTAGTGATGGAGGGTCACACTTTTGCAATCGGACCATTGAAGCGTTATTAAGGAAATACCATGTCACCCATAAGGTTTCTACACCTTACCATCCTCAAACGAATGGCCAAGCCGAGGTTTCCAACCGAGAGATCAAGCAAATACTTGAGAAGACTGTTGGGCCAACAAGGAAGGATTGGAGCTTACGGTTAGATGATGCACTTTGGGCGTATCGTACGACGTACAAAACTCCCATTGGGATGTCACCCTTTCGACTTGTCTATGGCAAGGCGTGCTATCTTCCCGTTGAATTGGAGCACAAAGCACTTTGGGCCATCAAGAAGTTTAACATGAACCTCGATGAAGCAGGAAGTCAAAGGAAATGGCAATTAAATGAGCTTGATGAGATAAGGCACGAGGCATATGATAATGCAAGCATTTACAAGCAAAAGACCAAAGCTTTCCATGACAACATGATCTGTGGGAAATCATTCTCAATTGGGCAGAAAGTGCTATTGTTCAATTCCCGTTTACGTTTGTTTCCTGGTAAGTTACGTTCTAAGTGGATTGGACCATTTGTTATTACTAACGTTTTTGTTCATGGTGCAGTCCAAATCCAAAGCTTGAAAACGGGACATGAATTCAAGGTGAACGGGCATCGTTTGAAGCCCTATTATGACACCTTTGTGGAGCATGCCGTGGATGACATACCCTTGGAAGCCGTGGGCCCTAGTAAGGAGTGAAGAAGGTTTCGTCCGGCTGGAAGACGTTAAAGCAAGCGCTTCGTGGGAGGCAACCCATGCAATCAACAAAGGAAGAACTTGGGAATCGCTCCACACTCAGATTTGCGTCCCTAAACCCTTTCCTTTGTTGCTTACTTTATGTTTTGTGTAATGTTTTTTTTTAATTGTGTCTAAAACATTGAGGACAATGTTTAGTTTAAGTGTGGGGGGGTAACATTCTGTTTTGAGACTTTGTGCATGAAATTCGTAGGGTATTACCACCTAACATGTTTAAACTTGTTCTTTGCTGTTTTTAAGTGTTTTTAATCTATTTTAGAGTGTTTTAGTGTGTGTTGACTTAAAAATCCGAAAATACCACACCATAAAAATTTGAAAAATTGTTTTGAAAAACCCAAAAAGAGTTGTTTTTGTGTGTTTGTTTGTGTCGTAGGTCACCTTCCAACACAATGATGAGGATTTGGTTTTTAATTGCATGATGGTTAAAGAAAGTTACAAACATGGTTGGACGTTTGATATACTCTTTGGTTTATGCTTGGTTGTAGTTATAGTTTACGAATTCACATGTAATCACAAAAGAAAAAAATCAGTTTTTGTAACATGCTTGAAGGAAAGAACTTAAACAAACGCTACATCCCTGTGAGACTTGAGCCTAAACGTTATTTGGAGAGTTATAATCTTTGCATCATTGTTTTCTAAGTCGTTGCATGATCTCATTATTCTTTTCTTGGTTACTACTTAGAAGGCATTTCATCACTTAGTTCCAAATGCTAGAACTCATGCCCATTTCATTCAAAGCATGTCATTGATTTGCATAACACATATTCAAGATGAAGTTGTGTAGTGAACACCATAGCCAAATTGCCATATTTCCATTTTCATTTGTTTTGTAGGATTTAACACCGTTGAGCCTTGTGTAGCCTACTTTCTTTGTTAACCCACATTATCCTCACCTAGCCTAGATTATGACCATCCTTACCCTTGTTCTTGAAGCATAGTAAGCATGAATGAATTCCCTTTGATTAAAGTGTCGCAGAAAATAAGTGTGGGGGAAGGATTATTGATGTGAGTTGATGTTCCATAGGCACGGTTAGAAAAAAAAAAAAAAAAAAAGAAAAGAAAAGAAGAGAAAAGAAAAAATGAAAAAGAGTTGAAAAGAAAAGAAAAAAAAAATGAAAGAAAAAAAATTGAAAAGTATTGGTTGTTGAAGTAAGGGCCCAAAACAATGAATTAGGCCCTAAGAGTTGTTTGAATCTCCCCTGTTTGTCTAAAAGTTGATTTCTGCATTCTAAGGGAATTCTAGGTCTTAATTTCTTTACTTTACTCACTATTGCTTAAAGAACTTTTGTTTATCCCTACCTTTCCTTGTTAGCCAATACCCCAAGCCCCGTTACAACCCTTGACTTCTATCTTGAGTGTTGTGCATTTCAATTGTGGAGTTTGAATTTGGTATGAGCATATGGTGTCACTGGTTCTCGCATTTAAGTAGTAGCATTCCATTCATGAGATCATATCTAAACACGTTTAATTATTCCAGAAATTGCGTTCTTGGTTATAACATATGTGAGTACTAGTCTTTCATGTTTACATCAATCTTCTCACATATAATTAGTGTAGGGTGTGTAGTCAGAAAATCTGAGTGAAAATTGAGTGCATAACTAGTGAGGAATTGAGGGAATTCTCTAAGGCATGTTACTACATTCAAAATGTGTTTTAATTGATTAAATGCGAACTAGTGAATGGTGACTATGATTAAGTATGTGCTTGAGGGAAAGGAAGACTAAAAGCTATGTGAGTAATGATCTTTGACATGTCATGTGTCATTGGAAATCCCTGAGGCAAACGTTGGAAGGTTTAGGTTATGTTTTGTTTGTTTTGTTGCGTTTTGTTTACTTTAGTTCTTTTGTTTTGCTCGAGGACTAGCAAAAGTTAAGTGTGGGGGAATTTGATAGGAGCATATTCATGCGACTTAATTAGCTTGTTCTCGTGCATTTATGTTGTGTTTATTTAGTTGTTTTAGTGTTTAAGGCCACTTTTGTGTATTTTCAGATTACAAGGCCAAAGTGTGCAAGAAGATGCAAATTGGAGCCTTTTGGAGCGAAAGAGGAATGAATGAGTTGAAGACTTGAAGAAATGACGAAATCCTACTCCAACGATGAATTCTTACCAAAACGAGGAATCCTACTCAAACAAGGTTTCCTATTTTAGGAAAGTTAACCCTAAGTTTCCCGTTTTGGTAACCTTTCCTAATCTAAACGTCCGTATTTTCTAGCCACTTTGAAGACCTTGTAGGTACTTTAGGACACAAAACGAAGACCCTAGGCTCCTTATCCATCCTTGCCGTGCCCTTTTATTTTCTTCCCTTCCCTTGCCGTGCAAGGGAAGGCAATTTTGTCTTAGGGTTGCACTTAAAACACATGCTTTTAAACCCTAGTTCTACACCCTTGCAGCCGCACCTCTCCTTCAAAATTCATTTAAGCCGTGCATTCCATCAGCCCTTCATCTTTAATCCGTGCACTATTATTCACCCTAACTCTATCATGCAGCCACCTTGATAACCTATTACACTCCAATCCGCACCATAACCCTAAGGAATTAAAAAAGGGCAGCAGCCACCATATTCCTAGAATTCATAACAGCCGCAAGACATCTGCCACATCCTAAGCCGTGACTAACCTCCCAAATTCTCCCACAAAACAACACAGCTGCAGCACCATATATTTTTAATTCCTTCTCTGCCGTGGCCCCCCCCATTAATCATTCAACCTAATACAATAATCAGCCAATATATCATATAATTCCTTGCTGCCGCAAGAGTTCTTCCACATATTTTCACAATCAGCCGCCACCATCCCATAAAATTCCTTCCAGCCGTGCCTTTCCCCATCCAGCAGCAACACCATCTCAGATTCTCTCCATCTTCCCCTTCCATTCCAGCCGCCATCTACACCATTCCACCACCTTACAAACCACCCTACACCTCCACACACCCTTGCCGCACCACCACACTACCCTAAACCCATTCCCAAACCAGAAAATCAACCAAAAACACCATTTAACCTCACTGTCGCAGCAAGGAGAAGAGGAAAGAGGAGCTTCGACGCGCAGAAATTCAAGTGGATTCGTTGGGCGTTCTAGGTGTAATCAACCCTTTATGCTTTATGTTTAAATTCAATTGTATTTCTCTTTTTGTGAACATGAGAGGCTAAATCCCCCTAGTTAGCTAGGGGGTGATTCGAAACCATGTTTATGCTTGCAATATGAATTAATTACTTTTGGTTGGAATTTCATAAGTTGTGGATTCAATTCGTTCATCTATTTGATTGATAACGTATTTGTGTATGTTGATTGAGAGTGCACGCTTAGTTTTCATGCATGAATATGATGCTAGATTATGAGGGAGTTTCACCTAATAGTTACAATCTTATAATCACAAGTAGTGAAGGTCGCTTGAAAACGATCGCGTTGAATGAATTCTTAGCATAAGTTTCATGCAATTCATAGTAACGAATGCTTCGTCAATGCTTATGTTTTCATAGAACTTAATGATTCTTGTTTGTATCTCTATTATGCAATTCATGTAGGGAACTTGTAGGGAATGTTTTGGGTTGTCGTATGCAATCATCCAACTTAATAACTTGTGGAAAAACTGAGGGTTAATTAGTGCAATTCACGGTTAATTTGGGGCGTTGAGTTTCATAATTTATCGAAAGACCAACTGAAAATCATTTTGTATGCAAGTGTAACATGTGTGGAGAAGAACCTTCTAGCTAGCATTCATTCCATATTTCATCACATTCATATTTACATTCTGCCTTTAAATTTACAATCTATGCATTTAATTTATTTTCGTCAAAACCTCAATCCCCCTTTACCTTAGTGTCTAATTTAGTTAGAAAGTGTCTTAATTTGTGTTTATAAGTGTTTTGTATTCTTTGAGTCTTTTGGTTTGTTTTAGTGTTTTATTGTTTAGTTTTGCATTCTTTGAGTCTAGTTTAGTGTTTTTAACGTTTGTTTTACGTTTTTGAGTCAGTGTCCAAGTGATTTAGTAATCCCTCCTAATCCCCGGTCTAGAACAATCCCTACTTGCATCTTTACTACAATTGTCACAAGAGGGTTTTAATTTGTGTGCTTACTTAGTTCGCATCAATATAGAGTGAAGAAATGACGCCTAATGAGACATGGGATAATGTATAAGAAAAAGCACACACAATAAAAATTAGAAACCAACAACTAGCAACGATTTTAAATTATTCATTTCTTCTTTGTTTATTCCCCAACCCTACTAACCTTCTCCGTGCCTAATTTTTCACATATTACTTACCACATCCTTCAAATGAAATTTTTTTAAGTATGTAAGGAACATGATTCGTTGATATACTTAGTTAGAAATTTTTCTTTAAGTTTCTAATCAAATGCATTACGATAGTTCATGTATTGATTCATATTTTTGGAATTAAAAAAAAAAAAAAACCTACAAATTAAAAACGAAATGATTATCGAAAATTGTTTCATTTTACCCAACTCTCGTTTGCTTTGGCTGCGAAGACAGACACCAAGAAAGAACGAAATTTTAAAAAACAAGACCGAAAATTGCGAAAAGAAAATCTCAACCCACCATGGAAGTAAAGGAACTTGCTTTCCCAGAAGTTGTATCTTTTAGCTGAACATAAGATTATGAAAATACCATCTTTTTCGACATTCAAGTTGTCTCCAGACGACTTGGCTTTGCTTTTGCAGAAATGCATGAAAGCAAAGGCTCTGAGACAAGGCAAGCAAATTCATGCGGTGCTGTTAGCAAGTGGGGTGGACATGAATTTGTTATCTTTGAGTTCAAAGCTTGTGGGGATGTATGCTGGTTGTGGGGATGTTGGGTACGCACACCAAACGTTTGATAAAATTCCCAAGCCAAACGTTTTCGCGTTGAACTGGCTGGTTTTGGCGTCGGCGTTTAATGGTCAGTTTGAGGACGCTATTGGGTACTTTTATTTGATGCAAGAGTTGGGAATTGTTGGCAACAAGTTCACGTTTCCTGTCGTGCTTAAAGTTTGTGTTGGTTTGATGGATTTGAACAAGGGAAAGGAAGTTCATACTGTGGTGAATAAACTTGGTTTTGAAAAGGATGTATCTTTGGCAAATGCCTTGATTGACATGTATTATAAATGTGGAAGTTTGTGTTATGCTCGTCGCGTGTTTGATAGGATGCTCGACAGAGACGTTATTTCTTGGACGTCGATGATATGCGGGTATTTTAACATAGGAAAGACCGATCAAGCGCTCCTCTTGTTTGAGAGGATGAGGTTGGATGGATTGGAACCGAATGATTTCACATGGAATGCAATGATAGCGGGGTTTGCTCGGTGTGGAGATACAAATCGAGCATATGCACTTCTGTCTAGGATGACTAAAGAGGGATCGGTTCCTGATTTGGTTACTTGGAATGCGTTGATTTCAGGTTTTACCCAAGGCCAGCATGCTGATGAAGCATTTAAACTGTTCAGGATGATGTTGGTGTCTGGAATTAAGGTGAACCTCGTGACTATCACAGGGTTGCTACCAGCTTGTGGGATCATTGGTTCAATTCAAAGAGGGAGAGAAATTCATGGATTGATCTACAGGATGGACTTTGACGTAAATGTGTTTGTTGCTAGTGCTCTTATCGATATGTACTCAAAATGTGGCAGTGTGAAAAATGCTCGAAGTGTGTTTGACCAGAATCCTGTAAATAACATTGCATCATGGAATGCATTGATTGGATGTTATGGTAAGTACGGTATGGTTGATTCCTCCATAGAGCTTTTTGAAAGAATGCAAGCAGAAGGAGTGCAGTTAAATGAAGTGACTTTGACATGCGTACTTTCTGCGTGCAGCCACAGTGGTTATGTAGAGAAAGGTTTAAAGATTTTCAAGTCCATGAAAGTGTGTCATGGAGTTGAGCCAGGTACAGAACATTATGCTTGTGTTGTTGATCTCTTGTGTCGGTCAGGAAAAATGGTAGCAGCTTACGAATTGGTTAAGGGAATGCCTATAGAAGTCACTGAATCTATCATTGGAGCCTTTTTCAACGGTTGCAAAGTCCATGGAAGAAGAGATCTTGCTAAAATGATGGCTGAAGCTATTCTAAAAATGGAGTTAAAGAGACCTGGAGGTTTTGTAACACTTTCGAATATCTATGCTGCTGACGGAGAATGGGAAGAGGTTGAGAACGTAAGGATGGTGATGAAGCAGAGGAAGATTCTCAAGCAACGTGGATTTAGTTGGCTCGATAAAGGGATGGCTTTGTCAGACTTGCAGTAGAAAAGAAGTCAAGAGAGTGTGTATCCAAGATGTGCCTCTAATAATATAGTATCAGTCAGAAGATCGTCACATAAGCCCTTTTGTTTTCACAAAAGACATCTCTTGTACAACTGAATTGATTTTCCAAAATTTTGTATCGACGCCATTGATCCATTCAGTTTTCTAAGGCATGAAGTTTATGAATTTGACCTGCATTGGAAACAAACTCCAAAAATACTCTTCTTTTTCACTGCTTGATACCCTTCTTTTCCAAGCTACTCATCATCCCAGATGAATTTTGTGTATGTAGACACAAGATCAAAACGGAGAAGCGGATGGTGAATCTAAACATGAACTGTTGAACTTGGCGGCTGAACAAGTACAGGTACTACTCAACCTCGAGTTACAGGTTTACAATTCAGATTCTGGCTTACATTCTTTTGTTCGTTCCTTAATGCCTCAAAACAGTTTTCCGAAAACAAAGTATACAATTATAACCCTTTAAGCCACTAATGTTTGAAAACAAGTTTGACACCATATAACTAATCCATTTGTTTGATTTAAGTATTACTGAAGATTGATTAGATAATCCAAATAAACACTCCCAACACACGGCATAAGTAATTAGTACAACTTGTTCATAAGCAGATGAATTGTTGATTTTGCTATGCCGAAGAATGTCCTTCAGTATATCTCTGTACTTCATACTCATGAAACTGAAACTGCATCTGTAGCAGTGTTGCGTTTCAGATATGTGGCTTTGAGTCAATGCATGTTTTGCTCCCTTGGCTTGGGGATCACACTTTCTGAATTGTTTAGGACTTGAAAGAAAACATGTGAAAAATTTGGATGGAAAAAGTGCAATTAGGAATGACTTTGTTTAATAGGGACAAAAGGTTGCTTATGAATTCTCTAAACCTCCATAATTAATGAAAATATTTTGAAGAAAGCTCAAAAGGGTCCCAAAAAAGGTCCTAAAATCACCCACTCTTCCAATAATTGCATGCCTTAAAAAGGTCCTAAAGAGGCTTGGAATATAAGAAACCATGCCTTGCATGGTGTGGTGGTTGTCCAATGGAGGGGTGTGGAGGTCTCTTTTGAACCATTTTATCTACTCACGCGTTGATTTTGTTTTGTTTCAAGACCCACATGCACAAAAGTTGCATGTAATTTGTGAAAAATGTGCACGAATAGAATCAGTTATAAATTTTCAATAAAAAATTATAATTGAAGGGACACTTTGGCCTGTTTTTATTGTTTTCAAAACGGCTTGACAATCAAAAGCGCTTTTGATTATGTTTGGAAGAAAAATTTGAAAGCATGTATGGGTTGCAAAAGTGCTTTATGAGGAACACGTATTGTGTGCTTTAGGAAGACATGTTTATAACAAAAACCCTTCTAGTATAAGTGCTTATGAGAAGAAGTGTTTATTGCTGTAGCGATTCCAAACAAGGCACTAATATCGTGTTATATATACGGCTTATTGCCTGTTTGATGTCCCCACAATTATATTCCGATACTATTTGTGCAAATTTTGCCTTAAATGTTTGGAGTGTTAAGGAAAACCTCTACGAACTAATCTCTCATTTGTTTTATTAAGATAAACTCTGAAAACGTGCAATCACTTACAAATTAGGGTTGGAATCTTTTCACCTTGTTGAGAATAAAGGACCCCAATTTCATTGAAGGGGGGAGTTGTGTAGTTTCGGTTAATGTGTATACTCTAAGGTACATGATTTCTGCATACTAATTAGTCTTTCTTTCCATGTTGTGCAGAAAACAATGGGTTAGCAAGAAAGTCAAAAGACAGATATGAACTTAAGGTTCTCAAACCATGTTTGGAAATTACTAAAGAGAAAACATGAGGATTGTTTTCATGTGTTGTCTAGTTCTTATCCATACTTTAGACAAAATTGCACAAAGGATTGTCATAAGATGCATGCAGCTGGCTGTCATCCATTAATATATCAAATCAATTTGGTTCTTTTCTTGGTTGGCTTTTTGCAAAAGTTAGAGTTTACAAATAAAACCTACCATTAAGTCAAAGAAAAAAAAAGGTATAGGGGATTCATATATAGATCGATTGAACGAATCTAAGAATGTCACTGCACTTAGTTTTGCATTAAGTCTTCCTCTATCTTTTTGCTCTGAGCCTCTATCTCATAATTGTATTTTCTAACCGAGATATTTGTAGGTCTTTGTTTCATATGTTCAAACCACTTTAAACAATTTTCCCTCGTCTTATATTCATATAGAGATAACACTATATAAACTTGTTGTTTTTCAATGTGAAATATGAATATTCTATGAACTTTGGCAAGATGTTATAGCTTTGATCCAGTTATGTCGGCCACTTATAAGAGTCACCATCTTAGTTCATAGAAGTTTCACAAAAGGAGGTACTATGCCTCAAATTGTAAAGGAATGCCCTTCAAAATGGTATCTATCTAGGGAGCCAAATTCTTGTGTTTAGAAGAATCGTGAGTGGATCACGTCTCTTGTTCGACTATGTCAAGAAGACAAAAGTTGAAACACCCGAATATGGATGAGCATCATTTTTTGTGTGCGGCCTGAACCGCAGAACCCTAGTGTTTCTCTCAAAAATGACCTTAATGTAGAAGAAGTGGCTATTGCATACAAAGTTGAAGGCATGGAATTAGGGATATGGCTTGGCAAATTTAGCTGAGTAGATAAGGTTTGTTGCAAGATCACCTCTCTTCCTAACCAAAAAGGTCTCATGAAAACGTACACATTACTACAAAATAGAACAAAGTAAAGCAAAATTTGACCTTAATAAAGCTTACCAACAATGATATTACCCACAATATTCATCTTCAAATCCAATATCTACAATCCTTCTTTTCTTTCCTGATCTTACTAAACCACATCAGGAATCAGTCATAATAATACGGTATAGAACCCGTTATTCATAAAAGTTAAATGTAAGATTTATCCTTGAAAAATTACCACGTGACTGTAGTACTAACGGCTATTCATAATATTCTTAAACCATTTAAATACAATATCAACTTCTCATTCCTCCATTCAATGCCTTTTAAGGCACTCTTCTATTCGATTTATCTAGCCCTTTATGCAAACAAATAAATACCATTCAATGTCTTTTAAAATTCGTATGCTAATACTTTCTATCTAGCGACTATCTGAGAGGCAAACCTATCTAATAATTGCCACTTACTAGTTTAGGAAAATATAATAAGGAAAGTGGTATTATAATTTTCCCTCTTGCTTGGTTGGTATTTGGGAGCTACCTGAAATAACTATTGCTTTATTTTTTATTTTTTATTTTTGAAAGGGTGACTTCATCGGCACCCAACTTTAAGTTAAGTTCATCCAAAATTTTATGAAACTTGAATTTCTTATTTTACCCTTAAACATAAGAGTAATGTTAGAGAGACTACCTATTTAAATTATATTTTATAAATCATATAACGTGATCGTTGATCGTTGGATTATAACTTAAGTGTTGATTAACGTGCTTATTTCCTAGTAGTAACACATCATATAGTTTATAAATTTGAATTAAAAATTTGGTCTTCCTAATATTACCCTTCTAGTTATTCCTATTCCCACTCAACTTCTCTTTCTGAACACTCTTGGGGGTGAGAGAAGGACAATACTATTCACACACCAATTTTTACTTTTCACATACTCCTTTTAATTTTCGATCATCGGATCGAATGAATTAAAAAAGATCAATAACAAAAATTAATAAAGGTGTGTAGGAAATAAAAATGAATATGTGGAAAAAACACAAACAAAAGAGTCCCTCAATCACTCTTCAAAATTGGGGTAGCTTTTAGAGTTTTTAAATTTTTTAAAAGATAGTTGGGTTAGCCCACTCATTCACCTCTTTAGGATAGATAACATTGTTGGTCAAAAACAAAAATTAAAAAATAAAAAATAAAAATTAATAGTTGGGTGAACTTATTAATATTACTTCGGCTCTCAATAAGGGTATTTGTGGAATAAAATTGATTAACCTATAGAATTTAAAAGTTTTAAAACAATGATTGGTTGAACTTAAAATTGGGTGCCTAATTCCTGCTTATTCATTGTATCTGGGTAATTTTTCAAATCATACAGCTATCACAAGTTCAATCAATAGCTCTAGGGCATATGAAGTGGTTCACTTTAATGAATCATCTACTTTTGTGACTTAAAATTAAAAACTTCTCAATCCTAAATGAAAAAAAATTCCTTTATTTAATGCAGATAAGGGCAGAAAATATACGTTTAGAGAAATGCTAAGCGAATTCTCTTAAAATAGAACTCTACAAAGATTCTCTTAAAGTTGGACCTTCTGTGGACTTTCTGTCACCTTACAGTTTAACGTCAATCTTTGTCCCAACATTATAAATATTGTGTCAAAAATATAAGATGACAGAGAGTCTATAGAAAGCCTCACTATTGAAAGACTCTCCTTCGCATTTCTCATACGTTGGTTTATACGAAGGATTCCAAAATCACCAAATGTGTAATCGAAGATGCATAAAGAGCCGAAGAAATGTTAAATAGTTGGGATTGTAAAAGTTTTAATTCACGGACCAAACAAGTAAATAACTCATTAAAATAAATGATGACACTGCCTAAAACACTCTTTGCTTTTTTTTGGGTAGAAACATTTCCTAAAACTCTCATCGTATCCATATCTAAGACCCTTTTCAAGGAAAAATAAAATTTTTAATCACACAAATTATTCATCGTCATCTAAAAAGGCTTATTACTTTTCATTTTTTATCCTCCTTGCTATGAACATGAAAAACTTGGGTCAAACTCCTTGACCAGTCAAGCATGATAATAAGATAATTTTCACATAGTTAGTTATTTGTTATGTAAATTTTTTTAAGAGAAACGATAGCTTTCATAGATGATTTGAAGAGTTTGTACAAAATAAAAGAGCAACAACTTGATTACAACAATTTTCAAATAACAAGTCAAAAAAAGGAGGATTCTCAAACCAACAACAAAATCAATTAGTACGAAGGACATACCGACCTAAGCGACACGATATGACATGTAAACTTTCATTGATAAACATGTCGACACGGCATTGATTCATACGTAATTGAAATTTCAAAAACATCAACTATAAAAAACATATCAATAATAAATAACATTATGATATATTTGTCGATATTAAATTATCAGACTATGAATCGCTCTAACTGGTCAGTGTTAATTGTTAAGCACACAGACTGGCACACTACCATAACCAGGAAACAAAGACTTTTAATTTCTGAAAATCACAGTGTGATGTTAAGCACGTGACTTTTGAACTTAGTCTAAAACAAAGAAAACTCATATGGTAAAGCAAAGTATAAAGTTCAAATTACCAAAATACCCTTACACGTACAGTACAGTCTCACACATCTCGGTCTACAGAGTCGCAGACTACAGAGCCAATCAACAAATATCTCTTCTTCTCACCCTTCCTTCTCAGCTCTCTCTGTCTCTCTCTCTCTCTCTCTCTTCCCGTTTAAGTCGAACCAGTTTCTTGGGTTCGCAGCACTTTGGCCTGCCTCACATGCCAATCCCCAGTCTCTTCAAATCTCTAAACTTTTTTATCTGGGTATCCAATATTTCACCCTCAGATCACACTTTTGCCCATTAAAATCTCCATTTTTTTTCACTTCGAATCACTTACTGAGAAAAACGCATCTCGGTTTTGGTCCTTTCTGACCTTCCTATGAGTACTTCAATAGATTCTGAGTGTTTGGTTTTCTCACAACAGGTCAGTTTCTTCTCTCTATCTTTTTTTTTTTTTTTTTTTTTTTTTAGCATTTTGTGATTGGAATTTGGAATATGCGTTAAACTGTGTATTTTGTTGCTTTCTGTTTAAAAATTTTGTGGGACTTGGATGTTGAAGCTGATTGAAAGAAATGGTTTAATATGATGGTACACATGAAGCAAGAAATGGTTTTGATGGTCAGTTGAGTTCTATCTATTTCATTGTGTATGTGATTCATTCTGTCTTATGGATCTTGCTTAGATTGTTTCTGTGTGCTTTTGGGTGTGATTTTCTAGATAGTAAAATTTGTTACTTTGATTTTGCATGTTTCGAAAGTTCGAGTCTTTGTGGAGATGTGGCTTTTCATCTGTTTTTTGGTTCTGTTGTGATTAATTTTGATGTGTTTTCACTATTGGGAGTAAACCTGTATGAATTTCGACTTTGTTGGCCGAAAAGTCTGAATCTTTGTAGCAGTAGTTCATCGTTTGAATCGGTGTCCAGGCATGTAAGATCCCATATCTTGTAGTGACACAAACTTAAAAAATTTGGCTGAAATCAGAGTCGCTCTTATGGGGTTTTCGATATGTAACTTTCTTTAATGCCTATTTGTTTGTGTGTAAAAAGAAGTGACAGTTCTCAATACCATCTTTTGGAAAGTCAAAACAACTGAGTAAAGTGACTTAGAGTTCTATTTTTCTTTGTTTCATTTGCCTAATACTTACTATGGCGTTTCATCGTAAGATGCTTCATCAAACAAGTGCAGTCATTGCTTCTATTGATGTTTGAAATGAAAACAAAACCTACACAATTTTGAACTCCTAAAAGATTTATAGATTATGAGCTGCCTTTATATTCTGGAGTTAGTTGTTTATGAGAAGCATTGGATGCCTGCTGGTAGCTGTTTTATAGCATTGATTTTATACGCTACTGGTTGTTCCTTATGTATTTACATCATGCTGTCTAGCTATTTTGTTGGTTGTTATGTTACTTATCATCATTGTCGGGATTGTTATATACTTGGAGAAGCCAACACTAGTTTTTGTAGGATGGCATATAATTTGTGTTATCCCTGAGTCCTACTGATTAATAGGGGGGATGAATTGATTTCTCGATTCTGAATTGTTCCTTAAGTAACTATAAGTGAAATTAACATTTGTATGTTTTTTTCATTGCAGCATAAAACTTATATTGCGTGAAATATTCTTTCTGGAGTTTTGAAATCATGGGTAGAGGTAGAGGAAAGGGAAAGAGGTTAACTGTCAACAATCATGATGATCCTGGTAGCGGTGAGGAAGAAAAAATACCGGCACAAAAGAGAAGGGGAAGGCCTCAAAAGCCATTAAAAGATGAGATTGATGAAGAAGAAGCTGAAAGAATAGAGGCAGATGATAGTGAGAATGGAAAGGCCGGTATCTCAAGCAAGGAGGTAAAAAGCCCCTCTGCGGCAGAGAATGGTAAGAAGAGGAAGCGGCAATCACAGGTGAAGGAGAAGTCAGATTCAGTTAAGGAGGAAAATGGTAATGGAACAAGATCAAGCACCGATGACTCAACTAAGTCTAATGGATTTCGGCATAATGGGAGCAGGCGGAAAAACAAGCCTCGTCGAGCAGCTGAAGCTGGTGTTGAATGCAAGTGAGAGACGATAACTTGTGCATCCTTTTCTCATTGCCAAAAAAGTCACGGGACAGGAAGTGAGGCCTAGTAAATCTCTAGTTTCTTTTTTCTTTTTCTGCTTAATTGTTCTTTTGGTAATTTCGAACATCATTCCTTTTTTATTTGAATTGTGAAATTTGGAATGCATTCTGCTGGATGTAGTTTTCCATGATGCTATGATATTTTAAATTTTGACTATCTTATTTTTTGCATTGTATATTTTGCGGAACATATTTAAGCAGTTGCTCTCTCTCACATTGTTATCTGTCTTTCGTGCAACTAATGAGATATCTATAGATTCATATTAGATAACTTAACTAAAAGGTTGTATTATATTCTTTATGAGGAACAGTTCTGAGAAGATCAGCTTTATCGCTTCCCTCTAATTAGAACAATCTTGCTTCTGCTAGAGACACTTTTTTAGGCATTACTGCAAGCAGAGTTCATCTTCTCCTGATCTACTTTGTTTTGAATTGTTACTTTATGGTGCCTATATAACTTGTTTTTGGATTGTTGGAATAACATCTGAACTTGGTAAATGTTGCAATTCTTCATATGTAGCTGTTTTGCTTCATTAGCGGGTGGTTGGGCTTCCATCAAAGGCTTTTTGTCTCTCTTCGGACCTCACACTTTAAACATGTGCATGATGGAATTGTGTTCATAGTCGGCATACATTTTCTAGATTTATACTGGATCAGTTTGCATTTGGTGACGATTAGCTTTGAGTTTCCACCAGCTAGTTAGGGCCAGACCTTTGGGGCATATGCTTATTCCTGAGCCTTGAGATGAGGCTACAGCTAAAGCATGGTGGTTAGTATCTGGTTTAGAATGGTTGTGACAAATTCTGTGTTCTTGAAGCCAAAGCTTTTTCCGAACGTTAAAAACTAAGAATGCATGGAGGGTTGAGTGAGTAACCAACCGAAGTCAAGGTTGTTTAGACTTTGTTTTAGAATGCATGGAGGGTTGAGTCTTGAGTGAGTAACTAACGGAAGTCAAGGTTGTTTAGACTTTGTTTTAGCTTCGAGGAGGACCTGTGTTCGGTCAGTCTCTCTAATTATTACGCTTGTGGTTAAGTTCTGTAATTTCCACTTTCCAGTAGTATGTGTGTTCGTTAGCAGGGCATGTTTTATCCATACTTGGTGTATTTTAATGGAAGTATAATATTCCTGGGATCATATATCGGTTACTAGGCCATACTTGCGGACTAGCTGGGTGTTTTGACTGATATGATTGTGAAGTTTTATGCTATTAAACTCGATATTATGTGATATAGTTAAGGTGTGCTTTCAGAATCCCAGTTAAAGGTTTTGTACTGGCTTGAAAATGTCGATTAGGACATCACATTGGTTTTCAAGTTGTCTTGTACGGCTACTCCGGCACTTGAAGAGGTGAATTTTTCAGTCGAAGATTTTAGTTAGTGAAATTTACATGTTGTACTGCCGGTGTACTGGTTCTAGTGGTTGTGAATCTTGTGATTCAAGTGAAGTACTCTTGGGTGAAGAATAACGTATGAACCCAGGAATGGAGGAAAAGAAATAAAAATCCAAGGAGAATGGCCGGTATTAACGTGAAAATATATTATGGTATATCCCCTTAGTTGTCGGAGAATAGGACAAAATATACATGTCTTTTATGCAAAGGGATTTTCATTTTTTTTCAAAAAATAGGGATCAGGTGTGGAGTTCATTTTTCATCGAATTTTAACGATCTGAATCGTTTATTTTATAAGTCTCGATTCATAGATTATCTTTGCAAAAATTCAATTCAATATGAAATCATATGCCTATTTAATTATCAAGATAAAAGTTTATTGTTTCTTATATATCAAAGTATTCGTTAATTTCTTTGAACTCAATTAGATTTCTTAAACATTTCCGATTTGGTTAATATTTTGCAAGAATGATCAATGAGGTGTAACTTGAAAAATATATGGTTCAGATCGTTTAAGTTTGATGTAGTGTGGACTCCACAACTAATTTCCATTTTCATAAAAAATTGGGGATCTCTACCCTTAAAAATTTCCTATATCTATAGGCACCTTTGGTATTGGTGATTAAGTTCGGACAATATTGATGATGTTGCTGGTGGATCATACCGGACATATAAAGTTTATCATTAGTAACTCTCTCATCACGTTACGATAAAATATTGATGAAAAGATGTTCGTGAATTCCTTCCTCCTTCTAGTCGTCTGGGCGTTTGCGAATTCCTTCAACCGTTTCTTCGTTCCATCTGATTTTGAGTTGGGTCTGTGAGCAAGAGAAGGGTTGAGCTGCCAAATTCTGATAAGCAGAATGGTGGTCAGTTTAACACTGCGCCAAGAAACGGCGTTGTATCCTTCGATTTCTTCCAGATCTTCCAAAGTTTACTAATTTCTATCTGTTATTCGAATGTGACATTCTGAGTTGGGTGAGTGTGACTTGGAACTTGAAAACCAATCAGATCCAAGCCCATTAGGCCATGTATTCAGATTGAGTTGGAGCTTTTTGGTCGAAAACACTGTTGAGAATATTTGAGTACACAACTCTAATATTTAAGTATTAAAGAGATAAAATAAGTAAACAATTTTAAAAGTAATGACACTTTTTCACTTTTTAAAGATAAACTTCATAACAATCACACTCCTCACAAAGACCTTATATCTCACTCTCACACATAGAGTAGAACTTATTTCTTAGGTCAAAACGAATCAACAACTAGTTACATAGGATCACAGTCAGTAATACTTCCAACTTAATAAAGAAAGAAAAAAAACAGGAAGTCGACTTCCAATCTAAAATAAAATGTATATAAATATAGAAAATTGTTATTAGCACTTCAAAAATCTCATTTGGCATACCAAACTTTCTATAATTAGAAAGAAAAATACATCTAATAAATATTCAGATTGAATATATTCATCGATCAACAAAATTTTCTCATGGAGGTACCCATTTTTTTGCCACAGATACCAATATACAGGCCAAACGACACTACAATATTAAATTCATATGCGGTTGAGATATTTATGAATTTAATCATTAAAATGCATAAGCTCAATCATACATTCAAGTTAGATCAATTCCTGAAGTTTTGGTCAACAATAAAAATTGCTTACCTATGAGTTCACCTATAAAGCGTGCAAAGGCGATATATTTTTTTATTACAATTCTATGTATTGTGAATTTTTGTCCGCAACTTTTGTGGCATATAGAGGCTAAAAGATACTACGATATTAAATCCATATATAGTTGAAATATTTATCAGTTTAATCATTAAAAGGCATAAACTCAATTACACATCTAGTTTAGATCAATTCCCGAAGTTTTGCTCCACAATAAAAACTACTTAGCTATGAGTTCGCCTTTAAAACGCGCAAATGCGATATACTTTTTAACCACACTTCAATGTATTTTTCTTTCTAATTATGGAAAGTTTGGAGTGCCAAATGAGATTTTTGGAGTATTAATAACAATTGTCTATATTTAAATCATTTTAGTTTGGAAGTCGACTTCCTTTTTTTTTCTTTCTTTATCAAGTTGGGAGTATTATTGATTGTGACCCTGTGCAACTAGTTGTTGATTCGTTTTTCACTTTCTAGAGATAAACTCTATAACAATCACACTCCTCACAAAGACCTTATATCTCACTCTCACTTCTTGGTTCGTTCAAATGGGGTAGACGCCTTCTTCTTTGATAGGCACGGATGAGACATTATAGAAGCACAGAAACACCCTGTTAGAAATATCTAGCTAATTTGACTTTCTTCGCTAGAATTAACTACACTAATTAATGTTGCAAGTTGGTGGAAACTTCACCATTCTTTGACTTTTCCTAGCTCAAATTTTAATTAATTTTCATGGGCTGGTGTTGATCTTCAACACTCCCCCCTTAACTTGTACACACATTGATATGATATGGGTTTATATCTCTTGGCTATGGCACTAGATCCCAAGTTTGATGCTCCAGTGCAATCTTTTTCCCATAGCTTTAAGATGTGATGTCTCTTCACACATCTCAGATTCAACTTACTATGGATGCACTGGCGTATTTAGGATTTGGCTTTTGTATTCTTGTAACCTCCATAGTTGTAATTGTGGGGTTGATACTTCCATTTCACTAGGTCTAATTTTCTTGGTTGATGCACACTAGTTTGCTAAGGATTATGAAGCTCATCTAGTTTAACATCGTCACCATCAAACGAATCCTCAAACTCATCTGGACTCGGGTTGTTTGATCCCCCATCTTTTGCTGCAAAGTATCTCCAATGTCTTTCGAGTCAGGCAACACATCCTTTTCTAAGGATCACCGAGAAAATGCTTCATTAAACACCACATCTTGTAATGTGTAACACCTTCTAGTCATAATATCACAACATATCTATCCTATTCTCTGGATGTTGTATCCCACAAAGATAGATCTAGTTGCCTCTTAGCAAACTTGCTATGTAGATGACTTGGAACAAATAAGTAGCACACACTGACCAAATACTCAAAAGTAGTTAACTGTATGTTTTATATCCCACAATGTCTCAAAAGGTGAAACAAATTCTAAACTTAGTTGAGGAAGCCTCTAATCACATTAGTTGTAGTTCTCATGGCTTTAACACAAAACCTTCCTAGTACATCTTCGTATGTAACATATAGATTTCTGCAAGATGTTGGTTCTTTCTTTCCATTACACCATTATGTCGTAGTCAGGTGAAATGGTGATGTATTCTACATTCATTTGAAGTGTTATATATGTGAGTAGGCAATTAATCTTCTTCCCCACTTCTCCTTCGATTGTATCTCTAAACTCTTTACATTTTAAAAATGTGTCAAATTTTTCTTTCACGAAGAAAATTCACACGTATTTGAGGAAGTCGTCAATGAATGTTACCATGTAACGCATCCCACTTATCGATGGTTGCTTGACGGACCCGCACACATCATAGTGAACTAGTTCTAATGATTCTTTGTTTTGAACTTTGACTCCTCGTATGGTAGTTGATGTGCTTTAACATACTAGCATTCTACACAAACTGTGTCTATTCTCACGTCAAAAATCATTACATAGTGAACCTACAAAATGTATGTCAAAAAATTAGTGTCCTGTAACATATGTATATTATATCTTTATTGATACTATTATCTATTTATTTATTGATACTATTATTAAGATAAAAGGTCTTGTCAACCGTCTTTTACAAATACTAATTAATTATGTCCCCAATTTTT